GGTTTTGGGCTTGTTTCTCTGTTTTATTTTTCGTTGTTGTGGCATTTTTTATGTTTCTTTCATTCACTTGACACAGTTTTTGAGGCTCGATTTCAGGCAGACCCCACCGCTTTCCATCACACCTCCATTTTCCGCGTCCATTTTCCGGTCAATGGCTGACCATTTCCACACTTGACATTGGCAGTAGAACAAAAAATAGAAATAACAAAACGGAAAAGGGAAAAGGGAAAAGCGAAAAGGAAAAAGGAAAAACGAACAAGGAGCGTACAAACACGATTTCGGTTATTTTATTTGACATTCTATCTGTCGCCGCGTTTTTCCCCCTGGTGGCCATAGCCTTTTTCTGCGAAGCCCAGCGTTTAAATAAACCATCTGCCAGCTTATTTGCTCTTGTCAGATTTGGCCAAAAAAGTCAAGCTGGCAAGGCTTCTTAAAATCGTACAAAATATCATGCTCCACGCTTTAAGCCTTGCAAATTCCGATAGGCTCTAGGTTCTTACCATTTTTTTGATTTTACCTCTTGCTTAACTTGAAACCAGCAGTGCCAACTTTATTTTTAATTGAAATATACGTGTACAAAGTTGTTCAACTGGCCATAATTCACTTTCGGCCAAGTGTAACGGGAGCCTGGAAATTTTGTATTAAAAAGTACAGTGCGTGTCGTATGTGTAAGGCGGTTCCAATCGAAAGGAAGTTTCCTCAAGTGCGCCTTGTGAATATGATTCTTTTACACTCAAATCTTTTATATTGAAGTGCAAGTAGTCGTGGTGTAAGATCTAAAATCGCTAAACCAACGAAGTTATCACATTGTGGCTGCGAAACGCATCGTATTTGTAGGCCAGCATATAGGTGATTCGATCCCCAGTTCGCCATTTGTGTGCCCCACATGGAGTGGTCATGGTGGAGTGGGATGCTGGAGGAGCATCGTCATCATGGCCATTGATATGCTTCTGCAGATGTTTGCACTTTTTCGGAGGGGGCTCCAATCTTCCCTGACCCCTCCGACAAAATAAAAAATATTAAAAAGAATGCAAAAGTTCCAGCCTTACTACTCGTACATTTGCATGCAATTTTTGTTTGATTTCGTTTTGCCACGCCTACACGTTACATGGGGGCGCTGTACGCCCAATTGTTGTTGGTCCTGGCATCGGTTTTTGTGCACTTTTTTCCCATGAATTTATTGCTGCATATTTTTGGGGGCTTCTACAACCATGTGTGCGTGTGTGTGTGTGTGTGTTTGCTCCCATTTTGTTTGGACACGGAAATGGTTAACAGCAGCAACGGATGTTGTGTAAATTTAATAAATATACCTTTCGCTACCTTTGTTTATTTAACCAATTCAATTTTATTTTTAACCCGTAACTCCGAAAGCCGGCTTTTGTGCTCGCTGCTGCACTGCGCGAAATAACTTGTGAGCCAGAGAATTTTAAACCATTTCTACTTTATTTGTACCTAAGGTTTTACTTCAAGGTATTCAAGTTACTCCAGTCGAACCATCTTGGAATTGCTAACTTCTTCGTCGATATTTTTCACTGTGCACACACACACACACACACACGTGTGTGTACATCCTAATTAGCAGCTTGGCTCGCATTGTTGCGCATTTTTGGCTGAACGTTGGAAGTCATCCGTAATATTCAGTGCGCGTAAATCGCTCGGATTTTAATTTGTATAACCACACACGGCCACCTTGTTTAACAACTGGTCAGCTTGTAGGCCTAAAGTGGAGGGCTCAGACAGGCTTAAAAAAATTATGCAAAGGACATGGCTAGTCCTTTGGCATTATTCACAAATTGCGTTGATCTGCCAACAGATTGAATGTGGGCAAGTTGCTTTGTGGCAAGGGCTTTGGGCTTATGGAATCAGGTTCACAACAAAATCAATCGTATTAGCAATGCAATCTTTTTGTAAATTCCTTTTCCTAATTGCCATATACGAGTATTGAAGTTTTAGGAGCAGTTTATAAGCATCTTATTGGCTCCGCCCGGCATTTATCTTCCTAAGCAAACTTATAGCCAACAATTTGCATACCTTTCGTCACCATTTGTGTTCTTACTTCCACCTCCTTGCGCTCAGACAATTCACTTGGTCTTGATGACTCCAATCAGTGGCCATTTAGAATGCTGACTTGTGTGGCTTAAATACTCGAATTGAACTCGCAGTGCAGCCAGAGCAGCACGAGAAATAGAATAAAAAATAGAAAAAAAAAGATGTGAAGAGCATGGAAACCAGAGACTGACGACTCAATTGAATTCTGCGGCAATAAGTCAATTGGAAATCATTGAACAACAATTTGACATGCCATTTATAAAAGCATCAAAATCTGTTCGACCACTTTGCTTCTGCTGGCCGCCGGGGAAAAGCTGGGAAAGCTGGGAAAAGCTGGGAAAAGTGGAGGGAGTTTCAGGAGTTCGCTACGTAGTGTGCCAATTAATGTTGGCAATTAAATGGCGTCCACAGCATTTGAACGCCACATTTGTCAACGGGGAAACAGAGGGGCTGCTCGATTTTCCAAAAATTCCCAACTTTACAATTGATCCCCCCCCAAAAATACAATGGCCATCTGATTGCTTGGCCATTTCCAGCACTTTGCTCAAGTTGCTCGCATTTTCTGGCCTTCTTTCTGCGACTCTCCGTCGTCTTGACTGCAATTCAATTTTGCCCCGATTCAATTCGATTCGATGCGATGCAATGCGATTCGATGCGATTCGATTCGATTTTTGTAGCGCTTTTTCTGCATTGTCTGCTTGCAGTGATATACAACATTTATTTTGAGCAACAATTGTTTTGGCATTAAAAACCGGCGGAATGTGCAATTGATGGCCCGACTTTGGAACACGTTCGCTTGCTGTCGCCGGTGCCATCCATCACACTCAAAGCGAAATGAATTGAAACTAATGCCAAAATGGCAATCAATGCGGCACCGTGCAACAACATGCAACAACATGGGCAACTTGGGCAACATGCACTTGCACTTGCACTTGCAACAGCTGTTTTCGTTTGCTTTCCCGGCGACCAACTCGAAAATCCTGTTGTCGTGGAAAGCCAGGTTTTTCTGGTGAAAATGGTTAGTGGAGCAGCCGAGGCGTAGGCTCACTTTCTAGTAGAAATCAAGTTCAATTCGACCAAACTGGCTGCGAATTGACAGTCATGTGGGAAATCAATCATTTTCATTTTGGCCTCCGATATGTGTGTGTTGTTCGATTCCACTTAAATAGTAGTAATTAGCTTTGCGGTGTTACGAATATACATTTTGCTGTTGGTTTTCGGCTGCTGGTGGCGCAAATCATAATTAACACCACCTGCCAGTTGACCCATCCTGCGAAATCCTTTGACGAACGAAAACATAGCACCTAATAGTCAAACTGACACGCTAAGCTGATTAACTCTAATCTAAAGTTGCAACCGGGGGAAAATAAAACAGCGACCGAACACAATCAAGGAAAAGCGAGTGTGCGCCAAAGGGAAAACAGCAGGGAAAAGCACAGCCCGCATGGCCTGTGAAAACGCACTGAGGGAAATGGGGTGTGCAAATGTGCAATTTAAAACGGATCTAATATTTTTGAAATATACTATTAAGGCAACCGATCTTTCAGTGTCATATTACTAGATAGTCAGTATTAACTGCTTATTGTGCCTGGTTTTGTGCAGTGCATTGGCTGCAGCAGCGGCTACACGACGACGACTGTTTACATTTGTCAAAGATTTGGGGCGGCGGAAAAGAGGCAAAAAGGAGCAAAAGGGGTTTTCACCGAAGAGCTGCCTGCAATGAAGACGGGCCAGAGGAACAGGAGCACGAAATTGAGAGCGACAAGGAAGCAGAGGAAAATAAAGAGGATCTAGCGGCGGACGGATAAAAGTGCACCCATTCTGGCACCAGAGTGACCCCCAAAAATCCGGCAACCGAATGCCGCCGGAGACTCTTATCTGCTCCCGGATTGGTGACTCCTTTCCACCAGTCTGTGGATTCACGTTTTCCTTGTGTGTTTAGTGGGCGTCTGGCCTCATCTGGTTTGGCTGTATGGCTGTTTTGGCTTTTTGGCCACGTGTCTTCTGTCCGCGTGTCCTTGAATTGGCTTAGAGTTCGGGGGTGTCGGGATTTGTGGCGTCTCGGGGCGTCTCCCAGTCGCCCTTCTGAACCCAAAAAAAACGAAAAAAAAGACACAGCAAAGCAGCCAAAACACCCAAAATCCCGAAAAAGGTGCGCATTCTAAGCTGACCCTGAATGGATGAGGATCAAGTTGTCCAAATTGCCAGCGGAACCCAGCTTACTTACCGATAATAACTTGGCTTCTTGTTGGCTGGCTGTCAGCGCTTTGCGGGCAATAGCAGATTGGCAGCCCTGTCAGCGATTCGGGCGGCTATCGGACAGGTTGGCAGTTCGCAGCAATCTTGAAAAAGTTGCCACACTTTGGGCGGCTTTCAGCAAAGTGTCGCCATGTCAACGGGTTTGCCTTGTTTTTCACCTCTCATTTCATTACATTAAAATAATTTAAGGTGCTGCTTTCACTGATAACCATCATTTCAAGACTTTATTTATTCTTGGGCACTGGCAATATTTCGCATATCAGCGCTGGCCACTTGGTTCATTTGCAATGCCTCCAAACTTTCCGGCCAAAAGTTGCGGAATGGAGCGATGGCGGCAATCATTTGAGCCGCTTCGAAAACATCACTTTGCGTCAAGGCTGTTTGACGGGGGGTGGAAATGTGGCAAGGTGGCAATGTGGCAAGGTGGCAAGTGGGGAGCGGGGAGTGGGGAGTGGAAGGCGGTACCGGCTTGGGCATATTTTGGCGCAAGTTTTCACCACACGCCCAAAAGTGGAAAATGCAGACGCTGCACTCGCCGCGCTGCCGAAGAAGACGAACAGCGAGGAAAAGTGGCAAGACGAGTGTGCCGCCTCGTGGCACAGCCGCACAGCTCGGCGCTTCGGCAACAGCGGCAGTCGGCTTCGGGAAATGCCGCTCGGCAAGTCGGAAAACACAGGCGGCATTATCAGACGGCAACTTCAGTTGCAAGCGAGCGCTCAGCGTGTGTGTCTCGTGTCTCTCGGGCGGCAACAGCAACAGCAGCAGCAGTAGCAACTTGCAACAGCAGCAACGTGCAACGTGCAACGTGCCACAGAAGCCAGCAGCAACTAGCAGCATAAATTGCGTCTTTTTCTGACTTTGACTTTGGGCCACAAGCGGTTTTGAAGTTTCGCACTTTCAAGTTTCCCGCGCGCGTTTCTCAAATCATTTTGTCGACGGCCGACTGTTGAGTGTTTTGTTTTGGTTTACGATTGTGTTGCATTGTCACGTGCCCATTTGTTTGTTTGTTTTTTGTTGCTGTGTTGTGTGGTGTCGAGGAATAGCTCGAGTCCAGGGAACAAGCCAACGTGCCGCATTGAAATTGAACACCGAATTTCGTTTGGAAGGCGACAGCATTCGATGGACTTGCCACATGAGCTCTAGTTGCAACTGATTCGAGTGTCAGCATTTATCTGCAACTTCCTAGACTACGATTGGTAAGTTGTCCCAAATGTCAGTATTACTTTTTTAATATGTAATTCAGCCTGCAATTCTTTCATTTACGCACATTAAGCTTGCTTGTATTTTTTTCTAAAATGTTTAGTGCGATTCTAAGCCCAAATTATTGTTGATCGTTTGATATGCTGCCATATATTTGCCCGCACATCTCTCAATAACAACAGCGACTTTGGGTTCTTAGAAATATAAATTCGTATAGTATAAATTCTCCGAAAAATCATAAGCCACATCCACTGAACTTCAATTTCTTTGCCAGCAATTATTGTTGGTCTTCTAATAACAAGCGGCGATATTTATTGCAATCGCTGGCGAAACATTTGTTCAACTGGTTCGTGTTGCTTTACTTTTTTTTGCACAACATTTCTTTCCATTTGTTGTGTTTTTGTGTTTTTTATTTATTTTTAGCGAAAGTTTCTGGTGGTGTTTTGTTTGATTTTCTTGTGATTTTCTTGTGCCGGCGTGACGAGTTTGCCAGTTTGCCAGTTTGCCAGTTGCTGTTTGCTGTTTGCCGTTTGGTTATTGGTGTTGTTGCGGGGAAAATGAAAACAATTTGCAGTGGATGCTCGGCCTCCACTTTTCTTCATCTCCAGTTTGGGCGCCCCTAATTAAACCGGTTAAGCGTTTCGTTTTTGTTTAGTAATTTTTGCTGTTTTGGTTTTGGCTTTGGTTTCGGTTTCCGTTTTTTTTTCGCGTGGTTTTCGCCTTGCTGCTAATTGCCAGTGAAATTTGTGACAGCAGCAGCACGACAACAATCAGCTGCCATTGTGTGTCCTTGTTAATGAAATCGTTAAGCTTTCCCAAGGACCCGTAGCCATGGCGCTCGCAGGACGACTACCAGGAGGTTTGGCCAGGAGGGGTAGAAAAAGGACGAAGGAGGTGCTGCTGGGCTAGGCCAATATCAAAGGGATATCGTTTGAATGAGGAACATGAAAATATGGGCGAAATATGCGAAAAATGTTTGCCCGTGGTATCTGGCAAACGGAGCGATATGCCGATGGCAAACCTGATGGCTGCTTTTTCGTCAAAAAGCCGTCGAAACGGGCAAAAATCTGGTAAAACTCAAAGCAAAAAACACCATATCGATATAATGGCCACTGGCTGTTTACAGGGGAAATCGCTTGAGATTGTCAAACGAAATGGCCAGCTGGCGGTTCAAAGATGATTTAAAATGTGCTACAAAAATAAACATTGAGCTAGTTATTTATTGAATATTGGTAGTGAGTAATTATAGCCAACTGCCCACTGATACCTTTGATTTTATGCGGCTAATCGAATTGATATGGAAACTCCTAATTAAAACTGCAACTAATTGTAAAAACAAAATTCAAACTAAGCGAGGGAAAATGCTGAGGCAGACTGAAAAGATAAACAGAAAGAATTGGGCAACTGAGTGAATATGAAGCCATCAGCAGAGCGCCATGTGCAGCAGCAACAAAGACAACAAAAACAACTTGCAGGGGGTGGGAAAATGAGGGGCGGGCGGGTTGGTGGTGGGGAAAATGTGAAAACGCGCCAAAGAGACGGACAACGGCGGAAAAACGCCGCCGAACGCAAATACTGCGGCACAATTCAACAAATTTCATTTTTTGTTATCTCACTTGTTTTTTACATTTTTTTTTTTTTTATTAATTTTCATCGTTTTTTTGCCTGCTTTTCCGGAGAACACACACACAGACACACGCAGACATTCAAAGCTTCGTCGCCTGCGGGCCAAAAATTTTAGATTTTCACTTTTTTCAGCCGCGACTGCTGTTTTATTATTATTTTTTTTGGGTGTTGACAAAATATCCCACAGCAGCAGCAAGAAAAAAATGGAAAAAAACGACTCTGGCTCACATTATGAAGTTTTTAATCAAATGAAATGACAATAAAATTTTGCTGTTGCCAAATTAAATGAAATGTCAATTTCGAGTGCCACCAAAAAAGAGAAGGAGATACAATTTGAAAATCACTTAAAAGTCGCAAAAGAAGCGAAAAGTTGCTGGGCTGGGAAAAGCACTTCAAATCACAATTAAATAACATTTTTTATGTAGTTGCTGGGTACTCAAAACTTGATTGCCCAATATAAACATATGATATATACGTTTGCAATTTAAATTTGCGTTCTTACTAGTCCCGCTTGCCACTGCAGATTTGTAATTATAATTCAATATTTAAAATGGTATAGTACCCTCTAATTAGTAAAATTTTATTGACACTGCCGGCCAGTTTCAAAGTCACAAGGCCAAGAAACTAGATTATAATAACTGACGATGGTTTATCCAATTAATGGCCTTCTTTGCTGGCAAACATCAAACAATTCCGTTCAAAGGTCAAACTCCGAAGCAAATGCACTACCAATATGGAAAGGACTTGGCCACATAGTTGGCCATGTGGCCAATTATGCAAAATAGGTTTACAGATTTGCATCGGGGCCAAGTGGCATAATTGATATTAATTTTGTAATTAAAACGTAAACTGATTGAAGGAAGAAGGGCTGCGGATTATGCAATATTTGCCAGTAAAAACATTTCAATTGAACAATAATCAAATAACAAATCGCAGAGAGAACAAACAAAATTGTCAAACATTCCGACGTATCTGACACTTGACATAAACTGGCAGATACATCTGCATTGTACGATATGTATGTACACATAAGCGCCATTTGGATGGCCTAATTTATGCATATTTGATGAAGCGCATTTTGTAATGAATATGGCCATAATCGATCGCCAATATTAGGTTTTGTTTAATTGTATTACCTTTTGTTGCAAAAGTCGGCGGCCAAATTGTTGGAAAATTGCAATCAGAAAATCGAAAGTCTCACTTTTTTTTTCCTTTTTTTTCCAGCCAGCGAATGCAGCGGAGCATTCAAATTGACTTTTAATTATCACGAACTAAAAATACACAAGCAGAAAATACAAAAACAAAACCATACTCTGCATAAATCCATAAATTGCCTAAACATGAACATGGGCAAAAATGATATAGCTTTTATACTCCCATTCCATGTTCGTAAATATGATTGAAAAGTTGCGATTTTCATATTACCCGATCACAATTTCCCAGCGGACTTCAATTAGAGATCGTCTTTTGATTTGAGATTACTTTATCAGTTAGATAACTAGATAAGAGTATTTTACCTAGAGTATTTATCAAGTCAATTCAATCTTTCAGTCCCCCGAGTTTGCCCAAAATTGGCGACGAATTTATTGGGATTACTTGCTATAGATCGGGCGCAGCTCTTTAAGTCCTCCCAATGCTTTGGCTGGCTCACTTGACAGCTGTCAGCTTCAACTTTTGCCCCATAATCCCCCCTTTTTTCCTGTCTCACCTGTGTTTTTACCTTATTACTTTCCTTTTTTTGCACTTCATCAAGTTGCGTTGAGCCAGCGGAGAAGGAAACTAAATGCGCAAACACATGTTCCCCATTCACTTGCGACATGGCAACTCTGTGCGAGTTTGCGTGTGCACTGGAAAAAAAGGCGCAGCACTGTGCTTGCAAAGGTGTAAAGAGCTTGTAATTTAAATAGTAAACATGTAGTAGAGCTGTAAAAGCAATCATCACTGGAGCTGAATCTACTCTGATTTCGCTCAGTGCACTTGGGCGCCTGTCAATGTTCTAATGTATGTATTTGCATCTATTAGTGTGCGTGCCCGGATAGCCAGGCGACTACAACAGCAACAAATAGCCAAACAAAAAGTTTTGGCTTTAGTTTTTGCATTCGGTTTCGGATTTGGCCTATGGCCATAACGAGATGGCCGATGCGGATGGGTTGAGGGGGAGGGGTGTTTGGGGCTGATTCGGGGGAGTGGAGATAAAAGTTAAGGCCGGCACACACGTGTGAAATATAACTTGGGGCCATACGAGATAGAGCCTTCAGATAATTGCACTTAAAACACCGAGTTGCTTATTAATTGGAATATTCTGGTAATTATACAAATTACGTGAAAGTTGGGCAAATATTTGACCCGCCGCATTCGGGTTCCTTGCCTGACATTTTCTCCGTTTTCCTAAACTTCATTTTACCAAACTCCATTTTCCTAAACTCCATTTTCCCCCACTCCCGTGCGAGATTCCCATAATTCTCTGCCGCCTCCCAGGAGGTTGGGCTATCCAGTGTTTCGTCAGGAACTTTCGTTCGCTTGACAACCGTACAGACAAAATGGCTTAGTGTAACACTTCCGTTTCCTGCCTCACACACACGCACACTTGTACACACAGACACAAAGAGAGGGTCTCATTTGATTAATGGTTTTTTGTGCACTTTCCTGCTCCACTGTGGCCCCTGTTTATGGGACAAGTTTGCAACACCAAGGAGCCATTGGAAATGCGTGTGATTATTTGATGCCCCACAGCTGACGAGCGGAGAGCCCAAGTGGGCCAGAAGCCAGAAGCCAGAAGCCAGAGCCAGAAAGTCCTCAAACTATCTGAGTATTCAGCACGGGCTGAAAAAGTAATGTAACCCGCTTATTCTGGAGCAGGCAGCGAACTGGCCACGTTTTCCTGCTGATTAGTTTTGGGAATTGCCATCGCCTTGGCTGTCAAACATTTTGAATGGCTATGGGCCTGCTTCTGGCCTCGTTTTGGCCAGCATCTGCCATAACTCACACATTTCCACAACCGTGCCGACTGCAGTCGCATTCATGCATAAATTATGCCACGCTGCGTATACGCAACGTCTGCCGCCTTAAAAATGCGAGTAGCACCCCGACTAGACACAAAAGCAAAGATGACACAATTCGGGCACTTGGCCAAAAGGTCAAATCGCCGCCGATGGAGGTGAACTCCGGCTGGCTAGCAGCTCATCCGTATCCGGCGCAGGCAAATCCTCCAGAAGATACTGAACGGCGAGCACGCCCATGAGCGCACTGAGCGAAAACCTGGGCACTTTTAGGCCGCCTTGCAGAAGAAATAAATAAGCCAACTAGATATCTAGGATGTTTTGCCAGTGCAGCCACGTGCTCGGCAGGATATCAATTGAGCTTGGCGCTCTTTGTGCCAAATGGCCAACGCGCAGAAACGGCGTGAGATCGAAATTTGTTGGAATGCAAATCAAATTAGACACACCGCAGGGAGTCCTGCGACTCCTTCTGCTGGCGCAGCTCAAAGGCCGGATGCTTTTAATCAAAACAGCAATGCAGCTGGCCGCCGGCCATGGGCTCTTCGCCCGCCGTTCACCTGAAATCGGCAAGTGGAAAATATGCTGCAGCTGGCCTAAGGCCCATCGAATCGACACACGGTTGCAACAGCAACGGCAGCAGCAGCATTTTCCGCAAGCCTCCCACTTTTCTTTCGCTTTTCATGCCCCCCGTGCAACGCCTTTCTGCGGCATTCTCTTTTCGAGCTGATTGCATTGACCGATGGATAAGACCAATTGGCGCCACCTGGCGCTCGCAAGTGGGCAATTCCTTGGCTGCCACCTTTATGTCTTTCCTAACCTCGCCTTCACTCCTTCGAGGCGCCTAATTGCCCGGAAGAGCCGGAAACATTTGTGATCCGCCAAGGGATTCATTGCTCATCGCTTTTTGCAAGTGAAGTGATGGCTTATGGTTATATTAATTGAATACAGATAGTAAGTACCTTAAGCATGGCTGAAATTCTGCAAGAAAGGGCATTCGAATGGCTGTACTGTATCGTAGGCGTGAGTCCAAGTGGGGGAAAAACGGGGGGCTGTGGAGGAATTTGCAACTATTACCCTAACGAGCAACAAGGTGTGCCACGCCCACGTTTGAGTACCTGGCTTTGAGTGCCGTTCATTTGCCTGGCATTGCTTGTTGCCCACTTCCGGCGCCCCGCCGCCCACTTCGCTCACTTCCGGTTCGCTCCTGCAGCAACTTCCGCTTGTCCAGGACATTCTTATCAACGTCGCACGTTTTTATCATAAATTTTACACTTCGCTTGCAATTTTTCGCCCGATTTTTGTGGGCAACAGCGGCGAAATCTTTACTTGTTTTCCTCTCTTTTTTGGCAGGGGCATAAAACGCCAGACGACCCCATTGGATTTGGACTCCGAAACGGCTCTTGTTGAGTTCTGGGCCCCATTAAAATACTTTATGGGGGGCAGGTTATGGGGACATTACGTAATACGAGGCGAGGCCAATGTGAAACAAGTGTTGGTCCTCCCGCCATTTATTGTTTATCAATTTTACGAGGGTGGCTATAAATGCGGCAGGGTTTGTAGTGATTTAAAGCGCAACATCGTAAGCAATTTTCTCTAAAAATATATAACGCCATTGCTTTGTGATGCCGCCTTTGGCTTTTTAAATCATACATTTTCATACCCTGTTTTCTTCGTTTTGTGTTTGACTTTGTTATCCATTTTTCGTGTAATTATTTCTTAATCCTTTTCGACTTTAGCATCCGAAATGTAAGTCCTTAACAAGCCGACTTATTGTAGACTGTTTAATAAAAACACACCATGTCTGAATGAACACTGAGCTTTCCGCAACGATGGCGGCAACTTTGCTGTTGGCAATTTATGGAATTTATTCGCAGTACGGCTTACTTGGTGGTCCTTTTGTATTGGCAATATTTTTTATGATTGCCCACCTTGGCTCGATTTCAGCCCACTCGCTGATTGGCGTAATGACGATGATTATGGGCCCACTTTACAGGGTGGGTGGGGCAAAAAGGGCTGTGCGTGCGTTGCGTATACGCCATGTCTGCCATTCAAGCCCGAATGATCATTGCTCTGCGGCCAATGGACACTTGTGCAAATGAAGTGTGTACACAAAGTATCATTCACGCTATCATTGACACCAAACAAGAGGGGGAATGGCCATTGAAGGGGGGCTTCACTGTAGCATCGGGAGCAGCAGTAAAAACAAGTTTGTTAACGCAGTCAAAAGTTGTTGGCAATCGAAATGTTGAGATTCCCTTTTATTTTTGCATCTGGCCAGCAAAATAAATTTTATTTTTCGCCAGCCAGTGAATGCAGTTTGCATTCATTCATATCACATCCAGCATTAAATTGTTCTTATTTTTTCAACAGCATTTTGGTTTGCCTGCGTATCTCTTGCGGATGCACAAATATTGTGGGTAAAAGGTCAATATAATAATGACCAAAATATTGCATTCGATTCAAAAATGTAAAGCTCTTGTAATAAACAAGGGAATTACGTTGCATTTTGCTACATTTTGCATTCACTATTTCATTATTTCCTTTTTTTCCCCATACAAAAAGGAGGAAAATCCGAATTCTTAACATACATGATTATACATTTGCTGCGTTGAAATATCTGTATTTGCTCAGCAGAACTTTGCACTTTGGATTCGTTTGCTGTGTGTAAAATTTATGATTATGCAGCTGAAGAGGCGCCAGAGCGAGAAGGGGCGATAGGGAGGGAGCGAGAGCGAGCATGATGGCTTGTAATTGCTGCCGGCTCTTGTGCAGCCGTTATTGCCACGCCCCCACCCCGAAAGCGAATGGCCGCCCCCTTTCGCAGCAGCCACATCAAAGTGCAATTTTCGCAGCAACTTTTATTGCATAGATATTAAAAAATGCAAGTTCCCCCACCGCCCGCCGCACTTTTCCCGCACAAAACTGCTCATCTCCATCATTAACATGATCATCATCCGCTTTTACCCCGCATTTAATTGAAAAGTGAAATTGATTTCTTCATCGCCTTTCTTCTGCGCGAAAGAAAATGGTTTTGATTTTCATTTCGACTTGTGCATTAATTATGGAAAAAGAAAGAAAACATATTTTTTGATTTCTGCACGCAGACATTTTGCCAATTGCACTCATTATTTGCCATTTTCTTTTGTTTTAGTTGCGTTGTTTCTTTTGCATTTTTCCTACTATTATTGTTTTTATGCTCGCTGTGCGTTTGCTGTGGCCATTTCCATTTGTGGCCACAATTATTTCCATGGTATATTAAAATGATACATGCCTGTACCACTCGAAATGTTCCCCTTTTCTCTTGTTTTATTTTGCCGACCATTTCGGTGCTTAAAAATTCCATTAACTTGCACCAGCAACAAATTCGTGCACCAAATTGGGAGAAAAGTCTCGAAGACAAGTCCTTTTGGAGTTGAAACCAGGTGCTGAAGGGCTTGCGATATATTTTCTAAGCCCTATTTATGCTATGATTATTAAATGTTTAGTTTTAACCTATGGGATACCATGCGCAGTACTACTTTGGTTTGGGCTGGGCGGAAGAGTAAACAATTTGGTGACAAGCAATACATCAACTATTTGCCAAATTCCCCTAGGCGAACATGTATCCCTATACATATGTCTGACACTCGAGAACAAGCTGAATTTATTTGCGCTCCACTCACTCGATCAAAAAATGTTTTTCTTTCAGTGGGGCAGGACGAAAACACTTGCAACTGGTGGAGGCGAGGAACCGAAACCAGAAACCAGAGACAGGAAAACATAGCGGCAAGCAGAGTGTTGCATACTTGGCACAAATAGAATAGCGTGAGCGAGGATACGGATACGACTATACGTAGATACGTAGATACAGATATATATCCGCCACTCCATAGACGCAGAGCAGCGGCAACATGCCGTCGACGGCAATAAATAAAGCAGCACGCAGTGTTGCCAATGCGATCCAATTGCTGGCAATCGTTCTCTATTGCTGCTGCATGGTGCATGGACAGCAGCAGCAGCAGCAGCAGCAGCAGCAACAACCACAACAGCAGCAGCACTTGAAGTACCAGCAATTGCAATACCAAATGCAGCAGCAATATGAATACCAGCAGCAGCAGCACTACCAGCAGCAGTTTCAGCAGCAGCAGCAGCAGCAACAGCAGCAGCAGCAGCAGCAGCAGCAACATCATCTGACACCCACGGCAGCACTTGCCCACCAGCAGCAGCATGGGGAGCAAATCGACTTGCTGTCCACTCAACCAACTCAGGTGAGTGATAATCTGGCCATCACAATTTATAACAATTATTGTGGGAAAAGTGCAGTGTTGGGTTCTGGTTTGGATCGAAAAGTAAAGCCGACTCCAGCTCATTTTGCAATTAATTGAACTTCGAGAGCCAGCCAGAGTTGCCACAGCTGCCGCAAATCTGACTTTTTCTCTCGCTCTATCCCTCTATCCCTCTATCTGTCTGACTCTGTCTCTCTCTGTCTCGCTCTTTCCCAGTGGTGGCAAATTGAATTTGATTTCAGTTCTTCTGCCAAAGCAGCAGCTGCAACTGCTTAAAAACCAAATCCCCAATTGCTAACTTTTCGTTTTCCCAGGCCGGCTTTTCCAGGAGATTGGCCCACAGCCAGGCAGTGAACCTCAAGTTCAATAAGCTGATTAACTGAATGAAATCAGCAATGAAAATGAAATAGAAAGTGCCTCCAGCTTTTTGGCTTGGCTTCTTTTGTTGCGTTAAACCGCCATGGCAACCGTCGCCGTCGCCGCCGCCGCCGCCACCGCCACCCAACTGATGCCCTATCAGTCGCAGGCGCCCATTTGCCAAAGTTGCCATCCAGAAGTAACCACTTCTGGCAGCCGCACTTCTGGCAATTTGCGACTGTTAAATGATTAATTTGCTTTTGATAGACTTTAAGTTATATTTAATTAGCAGGGCAAGAAAGAAGAAACAAAATCGAAAAGGAAAGAAACTTTTCCCGAGAGGAAGATTGCATTTGAAATGAGTTGGCAGTCCAGTTGGATGGTTGTGAAAAAGTCTGGCCCGATTAGGGCATTAGGTATTAAGGGATAATTGATAAGCACACAATGCATAAACAAAATGAGCAAAGCCAGCTTTTCGGACCTACAAGTTACCTAAAAGTATCTTAAATAGGGTTATTCTTCCCTCTCATAAGAGAGTCTGGCAACCCTGTTCGTGCAGTTTTCAACTTCAAGAAGTAACAACATATTTGGACACTTATGCACACATTTGGAGGCAATTCAATTGGTGTGTCTGTGGTGCTTCGTTTTTTTCTTCTATTATTTCAAAGACCACTTCTTGCTGGGTTGACAACCCTGGCTGCGGCAAGCCTGTTAATTTCACACACGATTTGCTGCTTAGTTTTTGCACTTTCCACACTCCTGTCAACTGACTGCTCACAGCCTTGACTGCCACTCCTCCTCCCCAGCACCCATCTTTTTGGACAAAAGGCGCGCCAAGCTTTTGTCAGGGGCACGACCACCGACTTTCCAACCACCGCAACCCTGAAACGCCCGCCTCCCCCACACTCTTTTTTCGTCATTCGGCTGAAACTGAAACCCAGAGCTCTAAACCAACTTTGCAGGACAAAACGTGGCAGCGTTTTGTAGATTTTTAAGTCCCATAAATTTTAAGTGTCAATATATAAAACCGCATATGTGCGGGGCCAACAATGGATGCGCCACATGGATGGGGCAGAGAAGGTGGTGTGGCGGGGCAAGGAATTGCTACGAGTCGAAATTCATAAATTCAAGCGTGGACGAAACGAAATGGTAAAATAAAATGCAACCAGCAGAAGTAAAAGCAGGAGCAGTTTTGGCTTGGATTGCGAATGGGCTAGAGATGGAACCTACTTTGGGATTAGCAAGAATAACTATCGAAGTCTTGCTTATCGACGCTGCGTTATATAATCGAAGTAATTGCATTGGTAAAAGTCAGGAAGGCATGGGAATAAAATAAAACCAAGAAAAAATAAATATTCAAAATTACAATAAATATGTGTGTTTGAACTATATAGCGAATGTATATGGCCTGAAATTTGATTACTCTAAGTGGTTTTTTTGATAATCATAAATTTTGTGCCTTCCCCTTATTACACAAAATATGACAGCTGAGCATTTATGATACAGGGACAACAACTAAAGATAATAATAATTCGTTAGCGTTTCCTTTTTGTGGCTCAACCACAACCTATCGCCTTGCCACAGGACATCGCCGGTCATGCCACACGTGTCACGTTGCCATCCCTGGGGAGCCACACATAAATTATATGAATGAGGTTTTTTGCTTTATAGTTGCGCGTTCCGTGTCTGTGGCCGAGGGCCATGGCCATTCGGGCCAAGCTCTCTGCTCCTGCCTCTGACCAAGCCCCCTTTGCCGCCCCACTAATCCTCCAGCTCCATGTGGCTTTTATTTTATTGCAAACTTCAAATAAAAACAGCAGCAAACCGTTGTTAAAAGAAAACGGGCAAGCGAGCCAAAAAAAATCCCAAAAAAATCCAAAAATAAAAAAAGCAGACGCGGGAAGCAGCACGAGAGCAAAGTGGATATATTGTATCAAATAAAAAACAGCATCAACAATGCAAGTTCTCGGGGAGGCAGTACACTGATCCTGGACGCCCAGGAACTCAGTGAACTGCGGTCGCCACATAGGAAACCAAGACGGGGGGCAATCAAATCAATTTCGTCCTGCACTCCAGTCCATCGAGCCATGACCGCATCAAAATCGCCAGCGAGCAGTTGAAAGTGCGGCATTTAATAATCGATGGGTTCATCAATCAAGGCCCTTTGCCTAGGCTTCATTTTTCATCCGGTTCGAATGAGTTGACACAAATAGCAAACAGCTTAAAATTCAATAAAATTGCCACATTCTTGAGCGATTGATTTATCGAATGCGGCAAGTGGACATGGTGGGGGTAATTTCTTAAAATTCAATACAATTTCGGTGCTTTGTAACCATTGATTTATGGGGTTATTTCGAGCAGACAACCTGCTCCAAACACTTAGAAATAGTTATGCCCTGCTGATTAAAAGCTCGATTAAAACTCTTAAATTCGTGCACATGTTAAGGAGCTGAAAAGCGTTTCCAAGCCATAAGCCCCATGATGGTAGAATTATGAAGATTTTCGCAGCACTCGTGGCAAATTATCTTGAAATTGTAATTACAAATTGTGTAGCATACTTATTAGGGCCAGCAGCTGAGACATCCACTAAAAGAAGGCGCCGCCTCCTGGGTGGCGTAATGTGGGTGTGAAAAATGGAAAATGAGCGGAAAATGGTCGCGGGAAAACCCAGTTGAGACGCCGTGTCAGTCAGTGGCAAAGCTGAAAATCGCTAAAGATTAATGATGCAAAAAATTGAGCATCATTAAAGAAAGTGAAAATGGAATTAAGTGCAGCAGAAGGAGGAGGATGGGAAGCGGTTCGGAAAGGGGTGATGCAGCAGGCATCAGGGAAGTGGAAAAATCTTTAAAAAGAAAACACTCACACAGACACACACACACACATACATACAGGAAGGAGATGGGCCGAAGTACGTGCAACACGCAAGGCGGAAGAAACTGTGGTGGTGGCATAAAACTTAACTACAATAAGCAGCAGGCCAAAAACGAGCTGACAACAATAACAACAGCAAATACTACACAATCTACAACAACAGCGACATCAAATACTACACCATCTACAACAACAGCCACATCAAATACTACGCAACAACAAACATTCTAGCTGTGCTTTCGCAGCCACTGAAAAAAACATAAATATATGATATCACACAAAAATCGTTTTGGTCGATTGCATTTCCAATATACTTGCATTAATTACAACAAAAAACATTACCAAATTAGCTATTTTTTGCATAATTAGCAGTTTTTGTTTAATTGATTTATTATGAGCTAGTTCCTCAGCAAGCGCTTCTTGCCTGCAACAATTTGGGATCAAGGGTTCTTTAAAGCTCACGAATTTCTCACGGTGTGTGTGGGCGTGACCTCCAAGGACTATCTGTGTAGCAAGTAGTTAGGCCAAGTGCCACGTACGTGCAGCGGAAGCGGAAATGGCAAGTGCCGTCACAGAAGCGCCCTCTGTCGGTGGGGAAGCATTGGAGGAGGCGCTCGCCAGGGGAATTCCCGCTAATGTCTTGAGCGCGTTGTCTCCGCCGAGCTCGTGAAACCAACGAAGCCAAAAAGCCCCTAAAACCTCCTAATCTCTCCCTCCCCGGGAACCTAGATCAGCCAGCAAACGGGGACAACAAGTTGGCCAGTTATGGCTCATGGGCCGAATAAAACACTTCATAAACTATGGACAAGTTTGGAATTTTCACACATCCTTGTGGGAATCTGCCCTATCGATTTGGCTTCAAAGTATTTCAGCCACCCACTTGCAAATTCAATAACTTGATGCCCACGCAAATAGGTGTACAAATTATTAACATCGAAAAATTTAGCTCATAATTAGACTTCAAGGTTACTAGACTGCTTTTTAGTTGGCATGGTTTTGCTATTTTAAGCAGATGTTCCATTGCCTGTTACCCAACTGCTGACTGCAAGCCAATATAATTAAAGCGACCTTAAATTTACATTTTATGCCGCCGTATAATTCACCTGTCGAACTTACAGCCCTGAATGTGATATTTTCGCCAGCATTTCTAACCTCGAGCGAAACGGAGAGGAAATTGGCAAATTCTAAAGGCAAAATGAAAATGTCTGTCTGGCGGCATTAGACAACAACTTAGTGGGTTGCGGTGGGTAGATAAGTTTTCCCCTATACTTGCGACCGCAAGGCGAATATTTTGTTACGCAACCCGCAGAGAGAGACGGCAGTAAGCGGCAGAAAGAGATGGCAGCAGAATAGCAGAATAACGGGCATGCCGAAAAATAATTAGCGCGTTGTGCTTATAAGTTTTCGTTTAAAAGCGTTTTACGTGCTAACCGGTGGGGAAAAACCAGTGGAAATGGGTGTGGGAAATGTGTTGGAAATGGGGTTCACTGCTGGATGAGATTACAGCTTTGATATATTAATGAACTGCCGCAGGGGGCGGGGCAGAAGGGGCGGAAGGGGCGCAAGGGGCAGCAGCCGGAACACGACCATTTCCATTGATGTTTTCCACTTTGAGGAAGGTTAATCTAATCGTATTTACAAGCACATCAGCTAAGCGATTCAATTATTAACGAATTTGAAATTGATTTGTGACAACTTTGTGGCAATTTCGCTGCCAAAGCTGTGGATTCTTTGTTTTTCATTTAAATAAATAT